GGTCTCAACTCTTGATTTCTAAATACGGAGGTCGGCGACAGGGTCTGGAGATCATCCAGAAATCTCAGGGAAGTTCCTTCACTTGGAGCAGCTTCTCGAAAGCTGCCGGCTTGCTCAGGCAAGGCTGTGCGTGGAATATTAAGAATGGGAAAGGTACTAAGTTTTGGTTGGATCCGTGGGTTTTGCAGGTTCCACTAAAAGAGAAGGCGATTGGTGTCATCCCGGAGGAGTTGGAGTCGGCAGCAGTAGCTTATCTTGTTCGAGATGATGGCAGCTGGTGCATTGAGTCTTTCCAGGACCTTCTTCCGCTTGAGGTCTGTGAAAAGATTTTGAGCACAGCAGTCGACAAGCTATCGAGAGAGGAAGACAAGCTGTTCTGGTCAGCGACAGCGGATGGGCGATTCTCCTGCAAGTCAGCCTATGACCTCATCACTGGTCAAATTCAGCAGCCTAGTGATAAGATTTGGCATACCATCTGGAGGCTACCGGTTCCGGAGCGAGTTAGAAGTTTTGTTTGGTTGGTCATGCAGGGGAGGATAGCCACCAACTCGCTGAGGTTCAATAGGAAGATTGCTCCCTGTTCGTCCTGCCTGCGGTGTCCTGATAGGCCGGAGACCATAATCCACATTCTGAGGGATTGCGGCCCAGCTCTCTACTTCTGGTCAAGACAAGTGCCGCAACAATATCAAGCGGATTTTTTTGGCAGGGATCAAGACTCTTGGTTTCGGGACAATCTTAACAGTGATAGGGAGTCCCTCTCAGGTATTAACTGGCCGGCTTTTTTCAGCATGGTCATCTGGCTCCTTTGGAAGAACCGCTCGACAGCGGCCTTTAAGGGAGTCGGGGAGGCTCTGTCAGCTCCCTCTCTGCTTCACTCCATTACAGCCAAGTGCAAGCTGTGGAACGAGTCTTGGCATGCCCCGGTCCCTTTTTCGAGTTCGAAGAGACAGCAGGTGGTGCGCGTAACTACGGAAATCGGATGGAGCTACCCTCCCACTGGTTGGGTTCAGGTTAACACTGACGGGGCCTCAAATGGCAATCCGGGGCCGGCTGGGGCTGGAGGACTCATCCGTGATCACCAGGGGCGCTGGATGGGAGGGTTCATGGCAAATATTGGTACGGCAACAGCAGGGCTAGCTGAGCTTTGGGGTATTTATTATGGGTTAGAGATCGCTTGGAAGCTTGGGTTCTCAGCGGTCAGGATTGCTTCGGACTCTCAGTTAGCGATTCAGTTAATTCAGAATCGGGTTGACCCTATCCATCCGTATGCTACTCTGCTGGGGCTTATTCGCAGGAAGATGAGTCTGGATTGGTTGGTCTACCTGTCTCACACTTACCGGGAAGGGAATAGAGCCGCGGACTGGCTCTCGAAGCACAGTCTCGTCTATCCCTACGGTATGCATGAGTTGGCAGATCCACCATCAGGCATCGGCCAGATCCTTCAGGAAGACATTAGGGGCATTACTTTTGAGCGCCGAGTTGTGGCGAACTCCTCTTTCTCTTCATAACCTCTGTGTTCTCGCTTCTTCTTCTTGGCTTTTAGCCTCCTTGCAATGCAAAAAAAAAATATAATTCTTAATTATCCATAAATGATACATGTGAGAATTAATAAATTTATTTTGGTGTAAACCGTAATTGATATCATAATTAACACCACCCTCCTCTTTCCTCCTTCCCACCCCTTCATGATTTGTCCACATGACAATACAAAGAGCAACCCCGTGGCTTTTTTTTTAATGAATGTAACCCCTCCCTTGTTTAGTTGGGCTCTTGCACATTTCCCACCCACTTCCATTTATTAGTTTGCCTCTCCAATTACATGCTCTGGCTTTATTGGAGAAGGAGGGTCTGTCTGTCTGTCTCAAACTTGTGTTAGAAGAGATCACCATCTTATCTTATATTATGTCCTAGGACTAAAATTATTACTGTGTTACCGTTGATAAGGGTGATTTACCCCTCGTGGTAGGTGGTCGTACTCGTACAGGGAGATGGACTCACTCACAGCTATTGTAAGTGTTTCGGCCTTTCGGGACATCTGTCCAAATGTTTTTTTGGTGAAGAGGTAGATGTTTTTAAAGGGGCAGTCCCACTCCCATATGACATTCGGTGGCTATGTTCGAAAATTTAAAATGTGGCTCTAAAATTTTTTTCCAAAACTTTATTAAATAATTATAAAAAATATGTTCAAAAAATTATTACAAAAGGAATATACGATCTGATTTCTAGTTTGACCAAGAAACCAAGACCACATTCCCGGTCCTAGTAGGGAGGAAAGTAAATTTGGAGGGAAGAGAAAACAGATATAGCGCAAAAATTGAATGGAGAAATGAAAATAGTCTAAACGGATCGAGGCGAACTATCTAATTGATCGTGGAGGCCATGTTTCAAAATCGAAACGTGGTACAAATTGACTTTTAACGATAATAAAACTAAAATGGTTATAATACCATTATTCAAAATGTAATATCTTTGTATATTGTTTAAAATAGAATTATCTATCATCCCTCTGTTTTTTGTATTCTCCATGAGAAATTTTTCAATTGTTATTATAGCTAAAATTATCTATTAAACTCGTTATCATACTCATAATCAATCAATTATACACTAAAAATACAACCTACGATATAGGATCGGTAACTAACGGATCTAATTAGAGGCCCCAAATCTTCGGAGGCCCTATGGCGGAGGGCGCGCCAGCACACCCTCTTGGCGGCCCTAGTTTTTAATATCTCAAGTAGTTTCAAATTTGAAAAAACAAAGGTGGTACTTTTTTGACATTTAGGGCTCGTTTGCTTCATGGATTTAAAAAATGAAGGTTTTGGTTAACATCTGGGTTTTACAAAACCATGGATATATTATGGAATTGCCCCATTTGGTTTTTAGTACAAACCATCATTTGTTTGTTGGATTTCATGATGGATTTGACATTATTATATTTGTGGTTGTATTAGGAATTTACGTAGTGCCCTTATTTAATATTATTTATTTTTACATTATAATTTTTGTTACAAAACAATTTTCATCCAATAGCTTCGTCCTACTACCACAATCGGAACAAATGAACATGATTAATCAATAATTAGACAATTCCTTAACAGCTTGTTTGGATATAATTCTGTTGGAAAATGAATTCCATTTCTTGCGAGAATCTGAATTCAAATGGAATTTCATTTCAAGAATTTATGTTGGGAAATGATTTCACCTTTTTATGTTTCGAAAAAATGAAAAAAATGGAAATGATTTCTTACAAGTGCTTTTACAATAATATCCTTGGTATTAATGATTTCAAATCCAAAAGTAGTAAGGGCTTTCTTGTAAAGGTGAGTCAAAATTAATGTGAGGTCCACTAATTCCATCACTCCCCCCACCAATTTCGACCACTTTTGGTAGGATTTAGAATTTGCAACTTTTTACCTTTTAGAATTCCATTTCATCTTTACTTTTTACTTCCAAACATGAGAATCATGAAAAGTTTGAGAATTGGAATTCCATTTCCTCAAAATTTAGCCTTTCCAAACAGGCTCTAAGATTTTCAATGTTGCAAAGTATGCTTTGAGATTAATCATGTAATGTTTGCATGCAATGAATAATAACGAATATTGAATGCTAGATTAATATGCACTACAAGTTGGTCATTAGTAAATGAAAGAGAATAAGTTGGTGATTAGTTTAATAAGTAGGGTTAAAATTGTATACAGTCATCATGGACTTTGTACCCAAGTCCCCAACACAAATCCCACCTCTTGGGGTGGAATTCTCAATTCCGTGGGGTTCACGGATTTGGACCATAAAAGTATGTGGGTCCCACGAATTTATTCATGCTAAATCCATCATGCAAACGACGGATTGTATACAAAGTCCATGATGCTTGATTTTTACGTACCAAATCCATGATGAATTCCACGAAACAAATAAAGAAATTGTCAATCTCCAATGTAGTTTTGAATTTGAAAAAGAACACTACGATAATATTTTTTAATTTGAATTCATAACCATAAATTATCAAAAGACATATTATCCATTACACTATCATATTATAACTTTGACAATACAATTTATACAAAGAGCTACCCAAAAGCATGTACCATGAGAAATTTGTAGTTCCTTGTAGTTTAAGCAAGTGACTAACCACTGCCTACTTTACACTTATCTATAAAATATATAAAGGCTTTTCCAAAAACTACCTTCACCATTTCAAAATTCCAGCCCTCCTACGCATCCACGTCAGCACCCTTCCGATCAATCAGATTTTTTCTTAACTCCTTTTTTTTTTCTTTTAAGTTTTTCTATACCCCAATTAGAATGTGCCACTTAACTCTCTCTCTCTCTCTCTCTTCTTTTTCAATCTCCCCTACTATTCTTAATTGATCCATATTTATTTTGTTTCAACTCCGAATTTAAATATTATTGCGCGAAAAAATTAGATTTTATGTGATCTACACAAGGATAATCATTTTGATATATGTTTTTTTTAAAACATAGCCACAATCATATATTTACAAGGCATGTTCCTATTCGATAGTTGCGAAACTATATCAATATCATTCGATTGTACCGCCATAAAGTATATACTAACATAAATCGCATAAAAAATTTCTTATTCTACTGAGTTACTAAATTATATCAATGTCTAATTTTGTAATATCATAATAATAATGCACAACAATTTCATGGGTGCTAAAATATTATCGTGCGGTACAAACTAATTTACCTTTAAAAAATCATTTAGCGACCAACTGGTCGGACTCAAAGATATACAAGATTCGGAATGAGAGAGGACATGACAGACTGAACAAAATAGACACTTTAGGAGGAAAAAAAATACCAAAGTACATATTTCAAACAAAATTTACCCGGCCAACGGACCGGCAGGGACGGAGCCAGGATTCTTGATTAGGGGGGGCCGAAATTTTTTTCAATATACATGTAGAAACATATACATATCACATTTAAATCGTTCAAAATTTTTTATATAAAACCCACTTAAAATTTTATCAAAACTGGAAAAAAAATTCAAGATATATGTAAAAACATATACATATCACATTAAAATCGGGTAAATGCTACATTTGGTCACTGAGATTACTAAATCGTGTCATTTTTAGTCACTAGAAAATTTTAATATCAATTTTGGTCACTCAAATTACTGAAACAGGTCACATTTAGTCACTCTCATGTTAACCTCCGTCCAACTCCGGTCACTCGAATTACTGAAACATGTCACATTTAGTCACTCGAATTATTGAAATAGTTAGTGGAGTTGGATGGAAACTAACATGAGAGTGACAAAATGTGACATGTTTCAATAATTCGAGTGACCAAAATTGATATTAAATTTTTTAGTAATGTCTTTTTTTTATCTAAACATTTTTCAGATTCTTTTATATTATCCAAACCTATCGAAATACTAAGAATTAGCCAAATGTTAACTTTCAGTTAGCAATTTTGTTAGCAATATGGACTTGACAACATGATACTGACTTGGAAGAGACACATGAAGGTAAACATTCCAAAATTTTAGTATTTTAACTAAGGAAAGAGTTACAAAATTATTAACGATAACGTAAAAATGGCTAATATTTTGATGCATTACGAAAAATTTGGTTAATTAATAGTATTTTAATAGGTTTGGATAATATAAAAGAATCTGAAAAAAAATTGGATAAAAAATAGACATTACCCTAAATTTTTCTAGTGACTAAAAATGACACGATTTTTAGTAATCTCAGTGACCAAATGTGACTTTTACCCCATTTAAATCGCACAAATGTTTTTTTATATAAAACCCACTTAAAATTTCAACAAAACTGTAAAATTATATATCTACATGAATCGTCTATGCTTACCAATTTAATTATAAATAGCAACGTGAAAAAACATGAATAAAAATGCTGGTGCAGGGATTTGAAACATCCACCTCTCTAGGGCAGAGGACTATAAACTACATCCTTAACCACTACACTGCCCTTATTTTTCATGTTCATTACTCACGTTTTATGCTATTTTAAAAGTTTAGGGGGGCCATGACCCCCCCTTCATACACGCTGGCTCCGTCCCTGCGGACCGGGTACCAAACTAGTGGGAATTAAGAGTATTAATTAGTAAAGTACGTTTCAATAAACAACTTAATGAATTATTTATAGATAGATACGAATTAATCCGACGACGTTCGCTTTTAGAGTTTTAGTTGTTTGGTTATGTTTGTTTAGTGGTTGACTTGCCGTCTTGAACCAACTCTGTACCTATCTATAATTAAGATAGTGATGTCTGCCTTGGGATTAACCATGCTGAGTATCAGTCAGCCAATAGGCCCAATACTAATCTCTTTATGGACGCTAACGAGTAACTATCATGTTTGTCAAGCCGAATTAAATCATCAAGTCGATTTGATGATAACAGGTTTGAGATTTAATTATCAAATTTGGATTCAACTTGCTCTAGTGAGTCGCTTACTCTATCTCACTGTCACGCGCCTCAATATCACTTATGCAGTAAACGTCCTCAGTCAAGTTGTTCACTCTCCCAGTGAAGCACACGTCAATGTAAGTTGTTCGCTCTCCCAGTGAAGCACACGTCAATGTTGCGGCACGTGTTCTTTGGTATCTCAAGGCCTCTCCTGGTCGAGGTCAAGTCCTCGCTGTGTCGGGGCGATCTCACTTTAACTGCATACTGCGATGCAGACTGGGGCGGCTGCCCCACTACTTGTCGTTCTACGTTGGGGTATTTCATCACTTTGGGTTCTTCTCCTGTCCCTTGTCGTACTAAAAAACAGACTGTGGTCGCTCACTCTTCTGCTGAAGGCCAGTATTGTGTCTTGGAGTTCACTTGACTCGCGTGACCTTTGTAAACCCTAAGTCGAAAAAGTTAACATCAATCAAAGTCTGAGAGGTCACATTCTCCGTGGAATAATCTCGTCCATCTTGGACGGGGAAACCACGTAAGTCCTTCATGTTCGTGTTCTTTTATTTTTGTTTCTTGTCGTTGCTATATATAGTAGTAACTGAAAAACCTAATTCTTCACTAATCCTTCAAGGATTCCGGCATATCCCTGGTTGGGAGGAATGGGTTAGGGTGATTACTTGTTTTTTAGTAATCACGTTGGCAACCTCTTTATATACCATTTGATTAATTATTTTCCCTTTTTTTAATCTTACGGTCAAGATTCTTTTAGGGTAATTTTGGAAATTAAAAAGTGACCACACCTGATTCTTCTATATAATCTACCTAAACCCTAGTTCTATCCTCCTTCCAGCCAAACCCGTCGCAGGCGCCTCCACGTACCACTCCCGTCGCACCGCCGGCAGCAGCCCCGACCACCCTCGGCCACCGCCGGCAGCAGCCCCCGACCACCCTCGGTACCCTCTCTCTCTCTCTCTCTCAGCTGCTGCTGCTGCTCTCTCTCTCTCTCTCTCTCTCTCTCTCTCTCTCTCTCTCTACCATCACAACATACATACCAAATAGACATTTTGGTAGTTTTCGTTTATGGATTCAATGTGCAGTGGTATAGATTGTTTATATTGGTAGTTTTCGTGTAATGATATAGATTTATTTCTGTAATGGTATTGATTGTTTATGGTATATATTGTTTATATTGGTAGTTTTCGTGTAATGGTATAGATTTATTTCTACAATGGTATTGATTGTTTATGGTATAGATTGTTTATATTGGTAGTTTTCGTGTAATGTGTATAAATTTATTTCTGCAATGGTAGTTTTCGTGTAATGGTATAGATTTATTTCTGCAATGGTATTGATGTTTTTCAAAGTGGTAGTGTTTGTCTAATGGATTGGTACTGATTTCGTTTTTTTTTTTTTCCAGAAAGATTGAGAAAAATATGGAAAGGAAATCTGGCTGGAGATTACGGAAGTGAGAGAAAGATAGAATTTTAATTAATAGATTTTTGTAACTACCTTAAATGTAATTTATTAAAAAATTAATTAATATAATTTATTTTTTCATACTCAATTTACCCTTAGTAATCACCGTAACCTGTCCCCTGATTGGGATGGGTAGGCCCGCCACTTCACTTAGTCCCGGGCCAAGTTAGTGAGTTACTCTTAAAGAAACTACCTTAATTACTTAAATACCTAATATAATTCTTAAATAATAACTAACACCAACTCAATACTTAATGAAAGGCAAACCACTATCTATCTAATAAGACTTTTAGTTTACTACCTCCTAATGAATGAAGCCAATAGATCCACACATGGCAGGCCGCCAGACAGCTCTCAGCCTCTCATATATTAATAGACTTAGGGAAGCCAATATAAAAGTAAGTAATTAATTACTAAATATAGAGCAAGTCAAAGCCCTGTAATTTATTAATAGAAGAATTTTACAATGTTTTATAGTATTAGTGTTATAGGTTTTTGTCTTTATGATACAACTTAGAAGTTTTACCTTTAATATTATGGTACAACTTCAGATGTTACTTAAACTCTTTAGTACAAATTCTTTTATAGTACAACTTGAACTTGTACATTTATGTGATGGTACAACTATAAATTTGTAAAGTTGTATCATAACATAAGGGTACAAATTCCTTTGTGGTACAACCTAAACTTATACATTTCACGTTATGGAAAAATTTAAAATTGTACATACGAATGATTTATATTACTGGTTATGTAACCAAACATTTATATGTGGTAAAACATTGCCGAGAAGCAACAAAGACAGTTTTCAATCTGAATAAAAAATTATTAACTCGACCGCATGACCTTTTCTGCGCAACTAATGATCATTAGCAGCTAATTAACCCCGTAGATATATTTATAAAAACCAAAGGAGAAAGTTGAAAAAGAAGAAGAAAACGGCAAGACATCAGCCATTCAGCCGGCTAACTATGTAAACTAGATGTGCCGTGACAGCTCTGTTCTTATGAACTACCAATTTTTTAATTGATAACAATTGAAGCTTTTCCATTCCTAATTAAGAGTAATTATCACCACGTCGGTACTAAATTTAGATGGGAATCTGAGTTGGATTTGGGATTAATTCAGCACCTAACTCACAACCAACCCCATCTAACCATGTGTATATATAATTATTGCTTACTAGATGACACTGTACCAGGGTGCTACAAGCTGTAATCCGTTTATTTTTTTCCAATTAGTTTGTATATCTTTGGTTTTAATTTTTTTATAAAAATTGAACAAATAAATTGTGATTTACCAAATAAACGTCGAACTAGGTAGACTACTAGGGTACGCTGTAATCCGTACCACTATCGTATATTTTTCAATTCGCATTTTTTTTGAAAAATATATCAAAGTTAATGTCAATTTATATAACATTATTAATTATATTCTGTACAAAAATTTAAATTCTATTTAAAACGAATTGGATATACATATCGTGCATTAAGATTTAGAACCAGAGTAGTTATGGATAGTGCATAACTTTGAAATTTTGCACACTGGATATGTTATATGCTCCATATTTCATAATGAGATTCAAGTGTAGACATTTCGATTAAAGCTTTTGTTACCATATGACTATCGTATAATGTTTAATAATTAGAGTTCTCAATAAAATAAAATAAAAATCTGGATCCTATATATTATAAGTGAATAGTAACTTCATCTCCATTATCATTGGCAATGGATAATGAGGGTAGGGAGAAATTAGACGCCGACCAAACATCACCATCTAAAACTATTTTTACGCTTTGATTCTTTTGTTTTCTCAATATATAATGTTTTCTTTTTACACAATTAGCAGCGGAAATGAAATGAAATGATGTGAAAAAGCAAAGGGAGATTGCTTGCTGAACATCTTCACCTAATCCGACCACTTCATTAATTAAGGGGAAAAAAAATCGGTGGCGGTGTACAGAAATTCGGACGGCCTGCGATGCCGTCATCATGTTATTGTATGTATCTATATGTTCTGTCGCCGTCAATTCCTTTTATATTAATTTGATCGTTCCTTTCCTTGTCACTTGTTATCGCCTAATTTTTATGTGATAATTGATTATTGACATCTGTGTTCTATTAGGGTTATTAGTATAATATATCTCTTTATAGTAGAATTTTATCAAATATGTCCCACTATTTTGTTTGATGATGTATGTTTTTGTGAAAATGTCCTTCCGTTAAAATTTTTATCCACGAATAATGTTTTGGTTTAGTGGTATTACCACTAGTTTTAAATCTAGATGTCCCGGTTTGAATAGCTCAAGTAGCACCTTAATATGTATTTTTTGGTTGAATCTTGGTTTGGGCGACACAAATGTTTAAAATATCCCTAGTAACTTCACTTTAGAATTTTTTTTTGTTTCTTTTGTATAGCCAAATACCTCTAATTATTTCACTTTAACCATGGAGAAATAAATGAGGAAGAAAACCTGACAATGTCCCCCAAATTTTGCCGATGTTGGGTCATCTGAATATCTATTCAAATGTGGTAGACCATTTTTAATGGAAATTTTAATAAAAGAATAAGTTTGTTAATTTTTTCTAGGGTTAATATTTTCGTATGGCCTGAACTTTGACAAAAATAAACATCCTGGCCAATCTTTTCGATCTATAACATAATGGCCCGAACTATACACCAAAATAAACAATTTGGCCAGATCTGACTTTTGACCGTTAACTTTGACGGTCAAACGCGTTGACTGTTAGTCAACGCGCCATGTCACTGCCAAGTCAACATAAAATATTTAAAATAATTCACAATTTCCACACATTTCCTAATTTTAAATTATTATAAATTAAAAAATCATATAATACCTTAGTTAAACCAAAAATAAATAACGCAAAAATATAATATTTGTCAGATCTTCTGACTTGGCAGTGACGTGGCGTGTTGACCGTTAGTCAACGCGTTTGACCATCCAAGTTAACGGTCAAACATCGGGTTTGGTCAAATTGTTTATTTTAGTGTATAGTTTAGGCCAGGATGTTAAAGATCGAAAAGTTTGGCCAGGATGTTTATTTTGGTCAAAATTCAGGCCATACGAAAATATTAACCCTTTTTTCTAAGTATAAGGACATGTTTGAGTGTTTGATGTAAAAATAGTAGAGTGACATGTTTGATAAAACTGCACAACAGAGGACCATATTATACCTATAACTCTTTCTATTATTATTATTATTATTATTATTATTATTATTATTATTATGGAAAACCTATTTGAAAATATTTAGTGTTATAATATGAAAGAAGCAGAACAAACAAAGGTTACAAAAAATTAGTGGGTAGCTGAGATACAATCTGGGCCCCCAATCCCTTAGCTATAGAAAAACTAAGTCTAGTAAAAATGTACGCGGCCGCCCGAGCCACTGCCATCCTAAGACATGGAGAATTTTTGGATCTTCTTGAGCAAAGTCATGACATCTGTATCCAACTCTCCCAGCGAAGAAAAAGAAAAGGGCAGGAAACCGTAACCAGCCCCGGTACTTGGCACACTTTCGCTAAGCAGCATCAGCAACAACTCGGCCAGGCACAAAACCAGTCATCCCAGTCTGAATCAGAGGTGAAGATCCAGTCAAATCTACACACATCTCGCCCCCTGTCCCAATTGATTATTCTCAACATTGTATAGACAAATTTTACAAAAAGGTCATGTATCCGAATTCTGATAATCTTCATTGTTAACCCATAACAAAGAGAACAAGATATGATACATGTGTATGGTTTTCAAGTCCAATATTGTGGTTTCATTGAGTTTGTTGAGTTGTATTGTAAGAAAATTATATAGAATCCAATATTCAACTTCTACGATATTCAAGCCAAGTGGGCAATATCCTCCTTTGAAATTCCACCTTACGATATATGCAGTTTTGCTGCTTTGAAGGTCGTAAACCTTACTGAAAAATTAAATACGACACCTGTTTCGGTGAAGAATATAGCCGTAAGCCGCATAGTGGTGGCCATGATTGACATTTGTTTGCTGCCCCGTTTTTAATCACTGCTTTTAATTTTAAGGTTGGGATCTGATGAATATCAAACTGGGCATATGTTAATTAGATGATAATAGGTGTTAGATCAGCTGTAGCTCTCAAAACTGACGTCTAATGAGATGAGATGCATGCATACATAAGAAATAATCCAAGCAGATCGGGGCTGAAAAATGCCGGTATCAGCTAATAATATCTCTGGCTAGCTAAGTCTTTTTCCTATAAAAACATAACGTGACATTATGTTGCTTTTCTCGTGGTCGGGGGCTAATTGATTATGCTATATAGTTCAATAAAATCTGATATGCGCTAATTTGTAACATATATTTAATGAGTTTTGCTATTTAAATTATGAATTAATCCGAATTTATCAAGGCATGTTATTTTATCCTATTTTCTGCTAAGTGAATCACAATTTCGAATTGTCTCCGACCCATGAGCTCAATTGCATAAAAAAATAACTGGAAGTTCTAATTCATCAAAATTCATCCAAGTATATTTAATAGGTCAGGGTGTGAGATGAGATTCGCAAATACACTCATTTTTCTTGCTCTGCAGTATTTTTCTTCATTATTGTCAACATGTTAGAGCACATCTTAGATGCTCAAACCAATGCCAAAACCATTCAAAGCATCTCCAAACTCCAATGCATCCAAAACTCAGAGGATTTTGCTCCTTGATTTATTTCTTTCAAAATATATTTTATTTAAATCTTTTTATAAACGCGATGTAATGGATCGGGAAATCGTCGGAATCGACAAAGCAAGAATACGAAAGCGAGAATCGAAAACACAGACACACGATTTACGTGGTTCACTAACACGATGTGTGTTAGCTAATTCACGAGCGAGAGAGAGTCAGTTTCACTATATCGAGGAGATTACAAATTACAGAGGAGTATGAGAAGTATTTATAGTACTTCTCCATGTGGATCTCAACCTAATCCAATATGGCAAAGGAAACAGTTACAGACCAGGCCCAGAACCCGAACCCAAATAACATTGAGCCCGTACACAGTGGAGGTCATAGCGGCTGATAGTCCGATTCAATCACATCAACAAATCTAAATGAACTGAAATACACCTAGAAAAACATGCAAAAGATAAAAATGATAAAACATAAGTAGCTCACAAAAAATAGTTCTAAAAGAATTCAAACAAAAGTGAACATGTAAGAAAATACGAGTTATCAAATATCAAGATGATTAATACTTTATAATGTTGGTCAAAGACATCAAAGTATATTCAATAAGTGTGAACGTAAACATATATTACACCAAGCATACTTTCTTAATAATTAACTGTGTGATGTTTATGTTAGGCCATGAATTATCGATTATTTTTCAATGTGACAAATGTATTTAGAATAATCCTTTAATAATTATATGTTTTCTATGTTCGTTTAGCTTATTTTCCTTCCTCACGCGTAGCTTTAGAAAGGGCGGAAAGTAACATTAGTTTTTTTTCCCCCACCAAACGACGTTGGATTGTCGTTTGCCCCTCCAAAGCTCTGTCCATAAATTTAGCAGGCTGTGATGTTTCTCTACAAAAGGACGATAATGATCAAATACTAAATTTAACAGGAAATCGTTCCTGCCTAACTAAGACAAGAAAAAGTTTTGTTGTTTTTATATTTAGCTACCGTCAGCTCGTCGCTAAAACATAGAACGATGACAACCTGAACGTCCTTAAGAAATTCTGCAACGTTTTTGGTCGTCCGTCGAGCCTAGTGTCCGTAGTATTTAGTGACAACTGCATTTATCATCATTTGTATACCCAACGTCGTTAAGTTAATTAATCGAACAAGTATTTGTGCACTTGGTGACTGTTTCAAGCCATAGTTAAAACTTAACCGAACGCTGCTAAATGCCTAATCTAACATACAGAGACAATCAGTTGTTGTCCTTGAAAAGTTATGCAGAATAAAAAAAAATCATGAAGTTCAGATTGCGGAGCACAAAGTTATGGACGATCAAAGTTTGGCAAAATCGAAAAAGACAACTGATTGTCTCTATATGTTAGATAGGTGACAAATTGACGTCCTTGAAGGCAATGCTTCAGGGATAATTGGTTGTCCCTACCATACCAGTTAAGTAGGTGACAATTAGGCATCCCCGAAAATACTGGTTAAGAGACAATTAATCGACCCCACAAGTGATATAAGTGACAATTAGTCGTCCCCAAAGATACATGCTAAGGTACAACAAGTTATTCATACGAGTTACATAATGGACAATTAGTCGTTCCCAAAAGGTGCCTATGTGATGCAGAATAAAAAAAAAAATCGCTAGGATCGGATACCCGAACACAAAGATATATACGTTCGTTTGAAGTTTCCGCCTAGGTAAAGGTTTATCACAAAAAAAATCATATGGATCGAACCGCTGGGTGGGGCAGCAGTTTTGGACCAAATCGCCCCTGAACCAAGTGGTCAACAAAATCGTCCCGGACCCAAACGGTTTTCATTGAAAACCGCGCCCCTACCCAACAGTCTTGAGAAAGGGTGACTGTTGGATGCTATTTTTGGATTTTTTGAAATTGGATGCTATTTTTGAAAAAAAAGTATATTTTCTGAAAAAATCCGAAAACAAATTGTAACTTATAGGACCAATACATATATGAGAAATTTTACAATACTATATAGTATTAGTGCTATAGGGTTTTGCCTTTATGGTACAACTTAAAATTGTACATTTACGTTATGGTACAACTTCAAATTGTACCTATACTTTTTGTACAAATTCTTTTATGGTACAACTTGAACTTGTACCTTTATGTGATGGTACAACTTCAAGTTGTAAAGTTGTACCATAGCATAATGGTACAAATTGCTTTATGGTACAACCTAAACTTATACATTTAATGTTATGGTACAACTTTAAATTGTACATTAAAGCACCAATACTATATAGCATAGTAGAAGTGCTCTACATATATAGGACCACATGGGCAATTATAAAAACGCATACACTGCCACAAATAAAATTGCAGCTTAAATTTGGAACTGAAACTACTCTAAAAGAATAGTACAATCCAATTTTACTATACGTAAGCTACCTAGCTAGCTTATTTGACTTAAAAGAAGATGTGAGTACGTATGGGGTCGTTTGGAAGTTGCAATTGTTAAATAGATGTATAGTTGAGAATGCATGTATAATATTATACATGTATTGTAGAATTTGACGCATTGTAGAATACAACGTTTGGTATGTGTGATTGTGTATGTCGCATCAGCTAAAAATCATTTTTGTCCTTTTCATTCCCTTAATCTTTTTGTAGATGATCTCTCATCCAAGATCTTTCCCCTACCTTGAACTCTCATCCAAGATCTGTTCCCTTCCATTTCTCATTTACCCTTAGAGGTTTGCAAACTCATCATGAACCTGGATCTTCTTCTTCTTGTTAAGAGAGAGAAAGTGACTAATCCAGGGAAGAAGAAGGAGATTTGGGCTTACTTTAAACTAGAGGATTGAAGTTGTCTTCTCTCAAGGGTGATTCAAACAACAAGGAAGGAGGATAATTGATCACCACACCATGGTTCTTTTTTTCATCTTTGTTATTGATATGATCTCAATTTGGCCCTTAATACGACTGGAATTGATTGAGCATGGAGGCAAGCAAAGAACATTGAAGAACACTAATTTTTGCCTAAGTGTTTTTGGCGTTTTCAAGTACTCACTTTGGACGAGCGTAAATCGCTATTGGCGTGTGAAAATTCGAGTTCTTGGCCTTGGTGTGATGAGGGAGAGCTGTTCTTGAGAATGACATGCTTTGGAGGTCGAGTTGAAATCCAGAAGCTAGTTTTCCAGGTCTATAAAGATGCAAGCTCGACACTGGAAAGGTAGCTAGATTTGGCTAAGTATGGGATTGTGCTCGAGGAGGCATCTTTGGAGCTCTCGTCGAGGAATAGGAAGGAGAGTCGAGATTCATGGGTTGTCGTCCATGAAAGCACACATCTTCTTATGCAATGACGTGGAATCGGGTGATGAGTTTGATCCCTGGAAGTACTCGAACGAGAAGCTTCAAGAACATAGATCGACACTTGCTGTTGGAGGAAGAACAATCCGAATCCGAGAAGAATTAGGATTCACACTCTGTTTTGTTTGATTTCCTTTTCCAGTTAGAATTCGTTTCTGTTTGAGTTGTAGCCTGTTTAGATGTTCTTTACTTGCATTGTAAGATTAGTTAGCCTATTTAAACTCATGTCTACAATGTAATCGTTAGTTTTTTAGAGTTAAAACGAATAAACCGAGAGTTTATCGCCAAATCTTTGTGCTTGTGGAATTTGGAGATCGACCTAGGGTTTTCTAGTTCAATCTTGTGCTTGTATCGTTCAATTAGTCACATTGAGCGTGGCCAAGCTTCGACTTATACTTCTCGATCTTCTTTCCCTTCCTGAAAGCTGCACTAAAGTCCCATCCCCATTCATCGACTTGACCCTGTTTTTGTTCGAGCAATTGAATTGAGAGTTCAATTCAATCATTAATCTGCACGACTCTGATCTCAAACCCTATCTGGGGTTTATCAATTATATTCTCTTGCTTAGCTATGGAGTAGTGCTCCTTCTCACTTAGGTATTGTGAACCCCAGTCTAGATGTGTGTTAGGATGTAAGAAATAGATTATATGACTGTTGATTGTATTTATATAATATTTTCTAGCTTTAACTCATTATTGGGTCATTTTGACCTTCGTGTAGAGAATCTCCTTTTGTTAGAGGCTTTGAGAAGTTGGATTTCTTGGCCAATTTTTGCCACCCACCTATGCGAATGAGGACAAACGTCAAATATCATATTAGTGCCATGATTCAATCTTGATTGGTTGCAATCCTCCATCGGGATTAACTTCCGAGGGATTAGTTGTTGCAATCCTTGGTTGATTGGTTAAGGGAGCTAGATTTCTTAGCTTTTAGTTGCAATCCTTACTCGAATGGCTAAGAGAGGTAGGCTACTTAGATTATAGTTGCAATCCTTAGCTGGTTGACTAAGAGAGTTAGGGTTTCCTAACTAGTTGCACCCGCCTCAAACACATCCTTCACACTAGATTTTGTTTTTTGCTTCTTAACACGGGACTAGGGAGAACAATACCGGGGTGAAGCCCTCTCATATATAATTCTCCACAATTTACCTTCTTTCTTGTTTTCATTTGTAGTTTCTTTAGTTTTAATCATAACCATATGCTAGATAACAACCTAAGCGATTAAAGTAGGGGTACATGGACTGTACCGGGTTGACATTTTAAAATGCTTGACATATACTTCACGCTACTAGAGTTTATACTTGGACTCTAGTCGGGATTTCCTTTGGTGTAGTCGGAGTGAGTCATTCTTATTGGTATTAATTTTTCCGTACTAATATAGATTTTTTGTAGTGGAATTCGTTTTATGTATTGATATTGATTTTCATGTAATGCTATTGCTATTTTGGTATTGATTTTTTTGTATGCGTATTTATATTCATGTATTGGTATTGGTTAAATCTGTACGGGTATTTTGGTATTGATTTTCATGTAATTGTATTGATTTTTGCATAATGGTATTATTTTTTGTTAGGCGGTTAGACGAAGTTCATATGGCAGCAATCGAAGAAAGCGATCAGAGGACGACAAGGAGGTAGAAGTAGAGAGAGGAGGGAGATATATAGAAGAGTTTAGTTTTAAAAAAATTCATTTTTCAAATGTAATTAATACAATGGAAATAATACATATGCAATGAATCGATATTTAATTTTTTGAAAAAATTTAATGTCCAATTTGCTCGATTTTCACGGTCACAACCACTAACAGGTAGTCACTGTAACCTGTCCCTTCATAATGCAATTAAATAGTGTGAGTATTAGGTTCGGGTTACCATGAAGTTTGTCACCGTGACAACCTAACTCTACACCATCTATTTTTCTTTTTTCATCTTTTAAAATTCAACGTCACGATTGATCCGTGGATAGTTTTAGAAATAAAAAAGATATTCACAAGTGATTACTACCCGCGGATAGTTTTGAAAATTTTCTTCTTATCCATCTCTATTTTATCTTTTGGATTGGAAGAAAATTTTACCGATTGATTGAAATTTGAACACCATTGTGTTAGCTGGTGTGTTGGGCTCGGCCCATTGTTCGGCGCCCATCGTGGGCATCTGGCCGAACTAGGGTCTCCCTCTCCTCTTGGGACGATGTCTGTAGAAAGCCCTAGAGGAATGTATAAATAGCATGTTTCCACAACGTTGTAAAGCAAGCAGAGAATAAGAAAAACCTAATAATATTTCAGCTCGGAGAGTTCTAACTCTCCCGTGGACTAGTCCCCTTATCGGGGAAACCACGTAAATCTGAGTGTCGTTTTATTGTTCTGTTCAGTTCAGTTCAGCTTTCTCAACATGGTATCAGAGCTTTCTGCATCCGATTCCGATCGGCTTTCTGTTCGGCTCAATTCGAAGAATTATGCGCTATGGGAGTTTCAGTACAAGGTATTTGTTGAAGGGCGAGGGCTGTTGACTGGCGATTCGCCGCGGCCTGTGACTCCGCCGGCGACGGCTCAAGAGGTGGATCACTGGGTGCAAAATAACGCCAGAGTTAAGACGTGGATTCTCGGCTCTGTTG